AATATGAAACTTTCAAAAGTCATGGGTCACTGAACTATGACGACACACAGACGAAAGTGAGTGAAACTTCACTGTAAAGTGAGGTTTACAGTATAGTATTCTCTTATCTGTCCACCCTCACTCATCTTGTTTCATCACAGAAAATGTCTATAAGGAGATTTTACCACATGTAGCTAGGTAATCACGCTTCATCTTTTAAATTAATGTACAAAGATACGTGTGCCTCAAATCAGGAACGAAAATCATGGAAACTCAGTTGTTCACTTGTCTGGATCACTGGCTGGTGTTTGTGTGGACCATTTTGGCTGGTGTTTGTGTGGACCATTTTGGCTGGGTTTGTGTGGACCATTTTGGCTGGTGTTTGTGTGGACCATTTTGGCTGGTGTTTGTGTGGACCATTTTGGCTGGTGTTTGTGTGGACCATTTTGGCTGGTGTTTGTGTGGACCATTTTGGCTAGTGTTTGGTTCATATGGTTCACTTGTGTGATCCAACTTCTTATGAAGGAATTATTAATTGTAATCTGTGATAGAATGAGAAAGTTTTCCACCACTCTGTGAACTCTGTCTCAAAATCGTAAGCTTGTGGACCACTTGTGGTCCACATGTGTGGTCCATTTGTGTGGTCCACTTGTGTGATCCAACTTGTCATATGAGAGAATTATTAATTGTAATCTGTTATAGAATGGGAAAGTTTTCCACCAGTCTGTGAACTCTGTCTGGACATCGTAAGCAAATCCGAACATCCCTCCCTTCGGCGAACCATTGTTCGTCGAACTGGGTGAGTAAATTCGGCCTGAAAAGTGTGCGAACTAGCCGGAGATTCGTTGAATCGGGGTACGTTGAATCGAGGTTGTACTGTATATCATAATTGCCATCGGCAGGGAAAGGACCCCAAATCAAAACAGACCACTGTCTGGTTAACCTGTGCAATCTACCACCTAAAAGATCAAAATAACTCCCCCTAGAAAGAATCCAAACAGGCAACCCTTCATGCAACTATCACTCCTACTCAATAGTGATACCAGCTCCGGTGAGCTGGCTCACCAGAGCGGCAGCCCACCATCCCAGCTCTTAAACTGATGTGCTGGCAGTCAGACTAGTCAACTTTGGCCTCAAGTTCCAGTTCTTGATTTTTGCCCTTTGTGGCTGTTTCAGCTGTGTGTGTGGTGTGGTGGCTAGGTGTCTTAAAGTGCAGGGGCTGGATGCATCTTGGACGACTTTCCCCATTAATATTGCCCTTGCTTGTCAGGGTTATCTTCTTTGGGGTGTTCAGGAATCAGTCCGCATTTGAGGACTTCGTCGCTACTCAGTGTCTTCTCTCTTAGGAGTCTGGGGCTTTCTGTCTTGTCCCAGGTAGGGGAAGTGTTATTGGCTGGGTGGGGCGCACCGCGGCCGGCGCAGCTAACTATACTTCGAAGCAGTGGTCGATGTTTCTCTCTGACTGCCAGTTTGTTTGTTGTATCTTTGAGGTTTTGATTTTTCTTTAACCCTTGGGCCGCTAAGGGTCATAATGGCTTCAACACCCACAGGCGCAAAAAAAAAAAATTCCAAAAAATTCTTTCATCTTATAAAAGTGTTCATTTGTGTTCTCTGATCACGGGGAAAAAAAATCGTAGGTGACATATTTTGGGCGCAATAGAGCGGGGAAGTGTGGCAAAAAAGAGACGTTGACAGAGCAGTCGCCAGACGAGGTCTGCTCCGCCCGAGCTGTCAGGCGGGGGTTGCCACAAAGATATTATTACCTAATTATTTCAATGTCTCTGAGTTTTTCTTCGTTTTTTTGCAGTAATATTATTCAATAGTGTGTATTGTGATATATTTTTATAATAAAATGTTTGAACCATCGCTGTACTCAAAATTATTGTGTTCATTTTAGTGATTCGATTATTATGTTTGTAAAACAATTAACAAATAGTTTTGCTGTTATTACACTATATACACATGTTATATATACGTATCTACATGTTTTGTTCACCATAACAAACCACTAAGTTGGTATTGTGAGTCAAAAAGCAACGAAGAGTGGCCGACACTCACCAGCCAGCCAGCCAGCCACTCGCCACCACTCCCTTACTCACCACCTCACTTGCCATCATACTCCTCCTACCTTACTGTTTATGCATTTGTGTTCACCATAGCAAACCACTAATCTGGTATGGTGAGTGCAGTCAATAAAAGTTGGCCACACACAGTCAGAAGACGACGCCACCACCCTCCCTCCCACAGCCTTACTCCTCCCTCCATGGAGCACAGTGCTAAATATCACCACAATCCTGCTATTATCAGAATCCTGGCCAGTTTTATCACAGTCAGGGGTCTTCTGTAATACTATTATCGCTAAATAATAGCATGTACATATATATTTTGACATTTTTAGGCGATGCTGTGGTCACAAGCTGAACAGCAGTGCTGTGCGCTCATGCTGCATGTGTCAGCCTTGATGGCTCGCTCAGTACTGAGGCTCTCACACCCAGGAATGTTGGCCACGATTTTTTTTCTAGGTGGCGTCTGCCAACTATTGGTCGTGGCTGCACTATAGCTGCCCCTATCCCACACGGGGCATTTAAATTATAGTGTTAGACTCAAAAACAACCATAATGTATTGTGCGGTACCGGTTTTGTTACTGAAATCATCTATACAGAGCACCACTTGGTTTCCGAACCCCTTGGGGACGAGACCCGTCGGTTAACATGTAAGTTCGTATACGAGAAATAGAGGGGAAAAATAAACTAGAAATGTAAAAAGAAATTTTTCCGAAAAATTTATGAAAAAAACTCTAGGGAAAAAAATCGTCAGGTTCATGGCGTAAATGCGACCGTGTTTTGTTTGTACTCATCAATAAGTGAAGTCCTGATCCGCTTTATAAAAGTCCTTAATTGTTCCTAACTGATTATTAAGACGTCTGGCAAACATCCTCTGGATGTTTCCTGCCAGCCTGCAGGCACATCCTGCCTAAAATATACGATGATGTACTGTACATTTAAGAAACAAATCTGGGTCACAGGTCTGTGGAGTGTGGTTAGGCTTACGGAGTCAGCCGGTCCCTCCCCCCACCACCAACACACCTCCCCCTCTCCCCCCACCACACCGACACACCTCCCCCTCTCCCCCCACCACCGACACACCTCCCCCTCTCTCCCCCCACCACCGACACACCTCCCCCCCTCTCCCCCCACCACCGACACACCTCCCCCTCTCCCCCCACCACCGACACACCTCCCCCTCTCCCCCCACCACCGACACACCACCCCCACCCCCCACCCCAAACCCATACACACACACACACACACTCTCAAAGGTCACGTGGTTCACGGTTCACTTCAACACCCATATATCGCTTCCTGCCTGCCTGCCTCCTTCCCACCCTGCCAGCCTGCTTCCTTCCCAGCCTGCCTCCTTCCCAGCCTGCCACCTTCCCAGCCTGCCTGCCTGCCTCCTTCCCAGCCTGCCAGCCTGCCTCCTTCCCAGCCTGCCTCCTTCCCAGCCTGCCTCCTTCCCAGCCTGCCTCCTTCCAAGCCTGCCTCCTTCCCAGCCTGCCTCCTTCCCAGCCTGCCAGCCTGCCTCCTTCCCAGCCTGCCAGCCTGCCTCCTTCCCAGCCTGCCAGCCTGCCTCCTTCCCAGCCTGCCAGCCTGCCTCCTTCCCAGCCTGCCAGCCTGCCTCCTTCCCAGCCTGCCAGCCTGCCTCCTTCCCAGCCTGCCAGCCTGCCTCCTTCCCAGCCTGCCTCCTTCCCAGCCTCCCAGCCTGCTTCCTTCCCCGCCTGCCTGCCTGCCTCCTTCCCAGCCTGCCTCCTTCCCAGCCTGCCAGCCTGCTTCCTTCCCAGCCTGCCAGCCTGCTTCCTTCCCAGCCTGCCTCCTTCCCAGCCTGCCTTCTTCCCAGCCTGCCTCCTTCCCAATATATTTATTGCGCGGTCTAAAGGTTAATGGTGTTTCTGTGGAGAGCCCCTTCGGCTCCCCAGAGCTGTACTGAGCTGATGTGCATATATTAAACCTTGGCAACAGTTAATCGATGGAGTTCTAGGCCTACCGAGGATCAGCGCCAGAACCTGGCCCCCATCGTATGAGGCACAAGGAGCAATGGCTTATAGACACCACAATGTAATTGGAAGCAGTCTGTCTGTCATCTACCAGGTCAGGCACCCAGAAAGGTAGGAATTCCAAAACAAACTACAGCTGGTTAAAAATTTCAAACCAAAATTTGAACTAGCAAACAGAATTCCCCAATTGAAAACAAGAAAACAAGCATGATGTCACCACAACCATTGTGACACTGTCTGCGCAACGTTCCCCTCCCCCAGGAAGGGGAAGGAGGGGGGTCCCAGACCTCCCGTGCCAGCTAGCCAACCTCAGTTCAAGAAACTGTTGTGTTGGTGGTGATCGATCGACTCTGGCTCCATCCTTTTAAGCAATGCTGCAAGGCAATGTTGTTCTTCTGTGTTGGTGGTGTGGGAGCCAGGAGTAACACAAGAGTAATGGGGCTGCATGCACCTAGGGCCACCTTTCCTAGGTGCCCTGTAAGTACTGCCCTTGTGGTTTAGGGTTAACTTCTATGAGCTGTTCGGGACACTACCTCTGTGTAGTTCTGTTGCTGCTCGGTGATTGCCCACCCTTGGGGTTCAGCTGGGGTGGTTTCTTACTCCTGTTTGGCCTTGGGTAGGAGGTAGTATCGTCACTGGCTGGGTCGCAAGGTACAGTGCAGCTGTCTGACATACGCATAGCGACCGGTTCTGTTCCTGGAGACGTACTTTTGCGGGGTTTTTCTTTTGTTTTGCTTTGCCTGGTGAGGGTCTGCCTGGTGTGGCTGTAGGACCACTTGTATGACAGTGGTCCTACATTTGTCATTTAAAATGCTGTATATACAGAGTACTGCAGTAGATTAGTGTTTGTCCTAGAAATATTTTACTGTGTGCAACATTATTACTGTAAATATTGTTAATAAGTGTATGTTCTATGTGTTAATGTTATTTGGAATAGTTTTAATACTAGTACTATATTGGCTACAGGTTTAGATTCCGACATCGGAATGGTAGATGACCTGGATCTGCAGAAAGATCCTGAATGCCATGGATTTGTCGGTAGTCCTCACCTTGGTGTGCATTCTGGTAATATTACATACTTTTTCTTTTCATATGAAGCATATAAAATATGAGTTAAAATGATAATCAATAATACCAAAACATAATGGCAGCCCAAATTATGCATTGGTGTACTGTGATTACAGAGGGACGTACATATGAGAGAAGTGCCAGTGTATCTTCAGCGTCATCTGGGTCATCTCCTGAGGCACAGCAGCCTCTGTTACCCGAATATCATACCTTACCAGATTTTGAGGATTATGCTGGTGTTGAGTATGAACCTCTTCATGACCACACCATATCTAGAGGAAAAATGGTTTGTCTACTCATGCATTTCAAATGTCAGCTGTATATGGATGCTTTTAACAATAGTGGATTCTAATTATTTTTCATTACATCTTAACAATTTTTGTTTTGTTTTTGATGTGATTTTTAATAATCTTTAAAAATTGCAAGATCTAATTAATATTTGAATTTATTTTATATTGATCACAAATACATACATACTGTACATATGATTGATTAAGTGCCCAAATTCACTCATTATCCCCAGTAGGCATACTTTTCTGTGGGGAGCCCCTATGACTTCCTGGGCTAATGTGTGTAATATTAGACCGGGACATTATCTATGGAGTTTTAACTACCAGGGACCATGAGCCTTGAGAGGTACAGTAATTACACCACTGCTTTTCCTTATTCTCATATCAGATATAGACTCAAATATAAGGCACAGCTTTGTATCATCCTGTGCAGATGACACAAAAATCAGCATGAAAATTACCTCTACTGAAGATATTGAAAAACTACAAGCAGATATTAATAAAGTTTTCGACTGGGCAGCAGAAAATGACATGATGTTTAACAGCGATAAATTCCAGGTACTCAGATATGGTAAAAATGAGAAACTTAAACATAATACAGGGTACAAAACGCAATCAAATTTGCCCATAGTAGGAAAGCAACATGTAAAGGATTTGGGAATAATGATGTCTGATGACCTAAATTTTAGGGAGCATAACCAAGGAAATATTACAGCAGCCAGGAAAATGATAGGATGGATTATGAGAACATTCAAATCCAGGGATCCCATCACAACGGTTGTACTCTTCAAGTCACTTTTGCTGTCCCGTCTTGAGTACTGCTCAGTACTCACTTCCCCATTCAGAGCAGGAGAGATTGCTGAAATAGAGGGAGTACAGAGAACAGATACGGAATACATAAACGAGAGAAAGCACCTAAATTATTGGGATCGTCTCAAAACTCTCCGAATATACCCGCTAGAAAGATGATGGGAGAGATATTAAATAATATACACGTGGAAATTACTGCAGGGCCAGGTCCCAAATCTGCAGAGTAAAATAACAACATACTGGAGTGAACGATATGGAAGAAAATACAGAATAGAATCAGTGAAGAGCAGGGATGCCATAGGCACAATTAAAGAGAACTGTATAAACATCAGAGGTTCACGGTTGTTCAACATCCTCCCAGCAAGCATAAGAAATATTGCCAGAACAACCGTGGACATCTTCAAGAGGAAACTAGATAGTTTCCTCCAAGGAGTGCCAGACCAACCGGGCTGCGGTGGGTATGTGGGCCTGCGGGCTGCTGCAAGCAACAGCCTGGTGGACCAAAATCTCACAAGTCAAGCCTGGCCTCGGGCCGGGCTTGGGGAGTAGAAGAACTCCCAGAATCCCATCAACCAGGTAACCAGGAGCCAGAACCAGACCCCTCTAGAGAGGTTTCAGGGAGCAGTGACCCCCTGGAAAATACCTCCCTGTGGTTAGGTTTTTTCTTATCTGCTATTGACTGGGGTTAGGCACCCAGAAAGGTAGGCATAAGAAAAAACACCCCACATAGTAAGAAACTAACAACAAAAACCAAAAGAGAGGTAGAACTCCCTCTAATCCCAAGGAAACAGGCTAACAAGCAAACGTCACACTCTACTGCCGCGCTGCTCGTCCGTGCAGCCCTCCCCTCCCGAGGAGGGGGGGGCTCCCAGACCTCCCCTCGCCGGCTACTCAGGCCTTCAGTTCGTAAGCTTATGTCAACCGGGACAGACGCTTTGCTGGCCTCAAATTCCTTGGCAGTGTTTTGCCTTCGTGGTGCCATCTGCCGTTACTGTTGTGTATGGTGGCCACGAGTTACTCATCAGTACCGGGGCTGCATACACTTAGGGGCCTTTCCTAAGCGCCCTGTAAGTGCTGCCCTTGCGTGGTTAGGGTTTTCTTCCTTTGGGCGTTCGGGAACCATTTCCGTAGAGGTTCTTGCTGCTTGGCATTTACCTCACCCTTGGGACATGCGGGGGTTTTCGGACCCCTCATTTGGCCTTGGGTAGGAAGTGGTATCGTACTGGTTGGGGCATCATGATGTTGTGCAGCCTGCCTACCTACATGGTGGCCTGTTCCTGTTTCCTCTGGGGATGCTGTACTTTTGCAGGGTTTTCTGTGGGGAGCCCCTATGGCTTCCTGGAGCTTATCAGGCTAATATATGTTATATTAGACTGGGACATTAGCTATGGAGTTCAGACCTACCAGGGACCAGCGCCAGAACCTGGCCCCTTCAGAGAGGTTTCAGGGAGCAATGGCCCTGGAAAACCCCCTTGTGGTTGGGGTTTTTCCTTATCTGCTATCAACCGGGGTTAGGCACCCAGAAAGGTAGGCATAACAAAACAAATCCCACATGGTAAAAAACTAAAATAAAAAAACGAACAGAGAGGTAGAACTCCCTACAATCCCAAGAAAACAAGCAAACATCACATTTTACTGCTGTGCTGCTCGTCCGTGCAGCCCTCCCCTCCACAAGAGGGGGAGTGGGGCCCCAGACCTCACTGTGCCGGCTGCCTCGCAGCAGTTAGTAAGCTAATGTCAACCGAGACAGACTCCCCTTCCACCTTTCTAGTGATCGTTGGGTTCATCCTCCGGGGATCTTGTGTTGGTGCTGTGTTGCCGGCTTCCTCTTTTGGGTTTTCGGAGTTCCATGCCTTGGCGCCTTCCCGAGCCTTTGCTCGATGTGTTCACTGACGGGTCGTCTCTGGGCTGAGGCTTTATGACCAGTGCTCACCAGGCCGGCCGGGGATGGTGGGGTCTGTCGGGCTCACAGCACGGTTCGGGAGTTCGTGGCTGTCTGGTCACGACAGCCACGACTCGTGGCTGTTGTGACATTCGGAGGGTTCGGGTCACTCGGGGCTCTACCATCCGGCTCCATTTGGACTGTTCTCTGGTGGTTCATTGCCGGAACCACGGGGCTTCTCTTAGGTCCTTGACCTTTGGGGTTGGTCCCTTCGAGTGGCTCATCTGCTGGATTCTCGGGGTTTGGCTATCCGTGCGTTTCATGAAACGGGGTGTGGCCTACGTCCTGGCAGACGGCCTATCTCAGTTCATTTCTCTGTTCACGGATTGGCTGGTCATCGCCGACTCGTTTCGTTGGCTCTGCTGAACGTACGGGCTCCTGGACGAAGATGGACATCTTCGCGTCGGCGTGGTCTTGGCGTCTCCCATTCTATGTGGCACCCTTACCCACCTGCGAGGCGTTCACAGTGGATGCCTTTCGGCAGGACTGGTCAAGGTGGAGTTACAGTGTGTCCTCACTTGAACAAACTATATGGGGCGAAGCTGATTTGTTCCAGTGTGAAATTCGTTCCATCCATCCGGCTCCAACAACTTAAATATATAAGTATCCACTCAATTTAACGGCCTATATGGGGCTGTACCCTGGTCGTTATTTCCGGAGCTCCGTTATTTCCGAAGTTAAGTCGGGTCGGGTAATTTTTCAAGTAACATTCAGGTAGGATATATTTTATACTGAATAACTAAAATTAAATAAAGTTCATTGTGTAATTGCGTTCCAATTTAATGCCACGCCGACGATTAAGCCAGCTGGTGGCTGCTGCATGGATGATGTGTGAACACGGTCTGATGAAGTCCAGATGGGTGGGCAAAAATTGGTTCATTCCTTTGTATTGCAAAATATTTCATGTATCAATCAGTGATTGTTAATATTTTCTTACTAAAATTTTAGAGATGTGTTTTGTTTTACCCTGAACAGTGCAGGTAATGTATTTTTAATGTTATGACACAGGCTGTGGCGGCCAGGCCATAACAATGGCGATCGAGCATTGTCACTGAGAGCTAGCCAAGACGAAATATTTTGAGCTCACCCTTTCTCAGCTAATGATAGAATATACATTTGCAGAGATTAATATGTAGCTTTTGTTGAAAAAAAGCTATGTTGAAATACTATAATAAAATTGGTAAATTGACTTACTTTTAACGAAGCTGAAGATTACGAAGCTGTGAAGATTACGTCATCCTCTGGAGCGCTTGTTTTATATTGTTCAGTACTGTATACAGGGTACATACAGTATGTACACTTATTTTCAGGCATTCACTTCACACAACAGCTAGCCTTACTACTAATTCACATGAGTTCTAATTCTAATTCACAATTGAAAATTATTTCTGCTGTATATTTACATTGTACAGTATCTTATTGTCAAGGTTTAAATAATCATTAACACTTACAATACTGTATTCTATCAACACTTTTTACACTAATTTATATGCCTTTCAATCATATTTTATATCATTAGTGGAGGCTACACGACATTTGATGGGAATTCAGCATCAGCGGGTGCAACATGGCTTGTAGAGCATTCGTTGCTGGCGGATGCTCCATGACTTGTCGATGGGAATTCAGCATCAGCGGGTGCAACATGGCTTGCAGAGCATTCGTTGCCGGCGGAGGCTGCACGACTTATCGATGGGAATTCAGCATAGCTTGCAGAGCATTCGTTGCCGGCGGAGGCTGCACAACTTGTTGATGGGAATTCAGCATCGGCGGGTGCAGCATGGCTTGTAGGGCACTCGTTGCTAGCGGATGCTGCATGACTTGTTGAATTCCCAGTGGGTGCTTTCACGAACCGTTGAAATCATGAATTTATCTATTTTTGTCTGAATCTGATATTCTCTGGCTAATATTCTGAGACACTGCTCTCAGCCGCGCGAGTTAACAGTAAACAATGCGGTCACATGGCCAGGCGCAGTACATTCTAGGTCCGTGGGAAAAAAAATACCTATTGCCTATACTATAAAAGGTATTTAATAAGAAAAAAGAATTTTGTTTAATAACAATTGTTTTAAAATATTTTAATAATAATAATTTAGAATTTTCTTCATAAAACTGAATCATTTTAAAAGAAAGTTAAGATTTAATATACCACTCTGGATGATCGCCTGGTCACCATGTGAGGGGCTGCCGATGTGAAAACAAATCAAATACCGAACGTCGGTAATATCGGCCACCAGACTAGTATAC